ACACGTGCACCCACTCCTTAGAAAGAAAGTAAAGGTGCTCACCATCAGGCTAACGCAGCAGATTCAGATGAAAGCTTTATCCATTCTGCTCCCACTTGATTCTGGTGGAAGACAGAATGTTCTGGGAAGTGGATCGCCTTTTAGACCCACGCTAGTCAGTGAAAATAAGCTGACTGGTCCCCTGTCACCCTCCTCTCCAAACAGCCGGTGGAGCAGAGATGGATCGGGAAGCCCCGAGCAGGCTGAGGGCCAAGCGCAGGCAGGGAAGGGCCTTGGTGTAATGGGGCGGCGCGCCAGGGGACCCTTCAGTCCGGATCTCAAGTCCAGCTTCATCTACATCCGGGCGGTATTCCCCAGAGCGGTTTCAAGCCCGACTTACGCCTCATTTCAGGCAGGAAGCAGTAAGGCTCCTAATGTTCTTGGGAAGTCAAGGAACAAGGTCTTTCAGGGCTCGCCTCCATGGAGCCCTGATGGCAGGAGAAATTCTCTCCTTAGGAGACAGAAGCCGGGTGTCTGCATTTCATGTCCTGTGCCGGATAAATACCGCAGAAACCCGTCTGATTTTGAGACATAATCCTGCTAAGGAGCTCGCTGTCCCTTCTGGGCATTCAGGCCCCGGCAGCGACAACACTTCCTCATCTCCGGTTTTCCACTGGACCAGGGCTTTCCCTGTGCTGTGCCATCCAGGGTAACAGGGACCAATGGCTATTGTGGCTGTTCAGATTGAAATTAATTAAGATAAAATGAAAACCCAGTTTCTCGGTCACAGGAGCCACACTTGTGCTCAGGATCCCTGGTGGCTGGTGAGACATGTCCCCCCTCTGAGGCCCGTGATGCCCTCCTGTTCTCAGCACTAATGGCCGCAGCCCCGCCCCAGTCCCTCCTTCCCTATGTCCAGAGGCCACAGCACGGGTCGAGTTTGCTGGTCTGCAGCATAAATTGGGCTGAGAGCAGGGTAACACCTAATCCAAGTTTCTCTGGGACGTTCTTGATCTTTGCAGTGAAAGCTTACATCCAGGAACCCCCTCAATCCTGGGCAAACCGGGGTGGTTGGTCCACACAGTTGAGACCCACAGAGCAAATGATGTCTGACAGTGAGATGCGGTCAGGGCAGCACGAGCTCCACGGTCCCTTCAGTGGGGGCACTCTATCACCTTGAGGACACCTTGTGCTCGCTCTGACATGAAACAGTCCTGCATTCACTTAAATCCCCCCAAAGCCTTAAGTGTTAGAAGGCTCTATGCTTTCTCTCCCCCTCAGCCAGGCCAGCCGCCATCTTGGAGGAGGCAGAGACACCCTCTGGCCCCCGGCACCCACCTCCACATCCCCTGAGTTTCTCAACTGCAAGCCTTTGGAGGTGAGTGTTCTGGTAGGAGGAGTTTGCTTTCTCTGAATTTATGACATTTTTTTTTTTGGTGAGGAAGATTGGCCCCGAGCTAACATCTGTTGCCAATCTTCTTTTATTTTCTCCCCAAAGCTCCAGTACATAGTTGTATATCCTAGTTGTAAGTCCTTCTACTTCTTCTATGTAAGCCACTGCCACAGCATGGGTTGATGAGCGGTGTGCAGGTCCGCACTCAGGATCTGAACCAGTGAACCCCTGGCCGCTGAAGCAGAGCATGTCAACTTAACCACGCCACTACGCCGGGCCCTGAACTTGTGATTTTTTTCTCTCCTGGGACAGCTGAGTGGGTTTTCTGAGGTCCTTCAGCATTGCTGAGGTCTTCCTGCCTTGGAGAAAAGACCTCCTATTCTGGAGGGCTCTTGCTCCCCTAGCAACTCTGAGGAACCCTGAGGACCACGCCTACCTTCTTCTTGGACTCTCCCAGGAGCCCAATCACTCAGAGCCGAGATGCCCCCAGGCTGGGCTCCCCGCTCAGGCCCAAGTCTCAGCCCAGGAAATGGACCCAGGCTTGCCTCTGAGTACAGGCGCCAGCACCGCCCCCCCAGCCCCCGCCATGCAGCAGCCACTGTCCCTTCTCCTGTCCCGTCCCTCAGTCCTTCCAGCTCTTCGTCCAGGACTCGGGGTTCAGGCCCCTTTGCTCCTTGTCAGAGGGGTTGAGATCCTTCCCAAGTGGGCAGCAATGCCCTCCCCAAGCCAGCCATCGCAGGGATACGCCACAGCCCTGGCCCTGAGGTGCCCTCAACCTGTGTCCAGGGGTCTTGCAGACGCCAGGCAGCTCCTGTCACCTTCACCAGGTCCTGCGGAAGCCCCTTCTCTCGGAGGTGGGACCTCACCACTCCTCCCTGTTGACGGGCCTTGGAGCAGGGGGCAGCTTTCTCCAAGGAAACCTCCCCAAAGTGCTCCCACCGCATTCTCTCCACCTTCTGCTAACTCCCTTATGAGGCAGTCAGCACCAAGCTCCCGTCCTGCCAAGCACGGGGCAGTCTGAGGTTTCCAGTCCGTTTTGTCTGACGGGGTGGGGTGATGGCGCCTCCTGCTGTCACATAGGTGGCTGCTACACGGTGGGGAGGGGGATGGATGTGGGGACACCACCAGCGTCCGTCGCAGACAGTGCCTAATTCCATTACAGTAAATTGTTAGATCATGCATCATTTCCTTCCTTCTCCACTTTCTCCACTTTCTTCCACATACAGTTTTGACTGCCTGTTCAATGCTTTTCTTGTGCTATTGGTTTTTTTTCCTCTTACTGATTCTTATTGATTTTTTCCCTTACTGATTTGTGAGTTCTTTATATAGTAAATAGTATGCCTGTCCTTTTTTGCACCTACTTTTCTCCAGTTTGCCACTGATGATTACCTTTGGCTGCATGTAAAAAGGCTGCCAAACGACAGTGGCTTCAATAAGATGGAAGTGTATTCCTTGATCCTGAGAGAAGCCGGAAGGGATCATCTAAGGATGGTGAGAGGCCCATGAGGTTGACAGGGACCCCAGGGCCTCCTCGCCATTACTCCATCCCTCGCATGTGGCCAAATGGGCCTCAATGGCCCAAGAGAGCTGCTAGAATATCAACCCTCAAACCTGCTTTCCAAACAGCAGGACAGAGGGAGGTTGGAAGAGACGAGAGAAGGGAAAGAGGAAAGACTGGCTGTCCCACTCTTTCAAGGCGACTTCCCTGAAGTGTCTCACAGCCCTCCTTGGACACCTCCTGGGCCCATCGAGTCGCAGGGCCCCCAGCAAGGTCGTCTAGGGAAGGCTGGTCTCTCACTTGACTGCTTTCCCAACCAAAAACCCACTTTCTCTTGTTCCTCAAGGAGGGGAGAATGGATATTGGGAGGCCAGTAGAGGTCCGCCCTCCAACACCATCTATACTTTTTACTTCCCAAACTTAGTGTCCCATGGGGCCACCCACAGCTGTTGTCTTGAAGCTCCTCGGGCCAATGTGATTCAGACCCCAGGGAGTTGACGTTAAGCTCTGTGAGGCCCGATGGGCCTTGTGCCCTCTCCCCAGGCCTGAGGAGAGGAAGGTGGCATCCCACCTCGACCCTTCCGGTGGGCGGGGACTTTGAGATTTGAAGCCCAGCAAATCGTCTCTGCACCAATCCTCCTGCCCCACCCTACTCTCCTCCCCATGGGACAGTGCTCGCCCTCTCCCAACTCTGCAGCCAGGCTTGACCCTCTTTTGTGTCTCACATATTTTATTACCACCTCAGTGGAAGTGCTCGTCTAGGCTTGCTGTGCACACATCTGCAAGACTGGCTGGACCACTCTATATGTGGCTTTGAAATGGAATTTAATTTACCGTTTCAGTGTCTTGCCTCCCGATTAGATTCTGAACCCCTTGAGGGCCGTTTCCCAGGGTGCCATGGCGAGGCTGTCCCCAACACACCCACTGTCTGCCCCTGCTGCAAATCTTTTTCTTTGCTTGAGATTAGGTTTTGCTGCAGCACGCGACACATGCCTCAAACCAGTGCTTAAAGAAAGGATTTATTTCTCTCATTTAAATAAAGATGAAGTCCGGGGTTAGGGAAACCGGGGACATTTTGGTGGTTCCATGTGGTCAGCAGAGACCCAGGCTCCTTCAAGCTCAATACAATCCCAGCTCTAGGGTATAGCCAGTCTGTCCTCGCTGTTCAACACTGAGCCAGAGCCACGGTCCAGCCATCACAGCCACTTTGCAGGCAGCAGGAAGAGGAAGGGTCTGTTGAAACAAATTCCCACAGGCCCCACCCTTCTGCTTCCACTTCACTGGCCAGGCCTCAGTCGTATGTCAGACCCAGGGGGACGTCTTGTGGGTGGGTGCTCTGTCCCGCTAAGCACTGGGCTTCAGTAACTGGAGAGGGGAGAATTAGGAGGAAACTGCCATCTGTGCCACCGAACACATCAGTATTCTCTTCCTTCCCAAACGTTGCCATTCCAATCCTAACAACCCTGACACAAACCCAGCACACTCTTGTCAAAGAAGATTTAACTGGGGAAGCCATGTGGCCATGAGATCTCATCTATTCATCAAAGGATGATGGAACCTTCTAGTTTTCTCTTCTTCTTTTCCACTGGAGAAACGCAATTAGAGTTGGTGTCTAGGGTCAATAAAACTAGTTTCTAATTCTGATGGCTCCCCAACCCCCAACCTCAGTTCTTCACTTTCTTTTTCCACGAGTCATTAAATACAGCCGCATCATTTACAGGCAGTTATGAGCTACCATTTCACGCATCCTCACCTCACCTCAGCCAAGGTCCTGAGGCAGGCCCCAGCCCCTCTGCTAGGGATTGCCGTGTACTCTAGAGCGAACACCACATTCAGACAGCTTCGGTGCTTTTCAAAAATGCCAGCGCCGCACCCTACCCTCAGATTCCGGCGTAATTGGTCAAGGACGCGTGGCCTGCGCAGAGGTCATTTTCAGTGTCCCAAGAGATTCCAGTGTGAAGAGGCCACGAAGCCTGGCTGCGGCACACCTGCGTGCACACCGTGGGGGCGGAGGGGCGCCGGCCCGGGCCTCACCTCGGCAGGCGCTTCCGACCACCCCTCTGCCTTTAACGCTCCTTTTCCTCCTCCCTTCTCAAAACCTAGTCAAACATATCAGGCAAGGGGAAAAAATAACACTGGTATTATTGTTTATTCGTCAGAATTGCCAGAACCAGGGTGTCTACTGGGCAAGTACAAAAATAGAAAATTTTACTACTCTGAAAAGGCAGCTATGACAAGCAAGCACACGCTCGGAGGGGGCCATCGGGCCCGGCGCGCAGCCTGCCACCGCAGAGGCCCGTGCGCCCCCTGTCCCAGCCGCGCTAGCTGGCCCAGTCCTGGAAGCGGAAGCAGTCGCTCGCGATCCTCCACACCGTGCTGCTGGGCGAGGCCTGCGCCGTCAGGATGAAGTTCTGGTTGAAGTCCCGCTGCTTGTTGCCCTCGAACTTCACGGTCCCACAGATGACGACAAGGACCGTGGTCTGGCTCGGGGTGGCCTCGTCGTGCACGGGCTGGCAGTCCACCACGTTGATCTGGAACTCACTGGAGGGCAACATTTCGAAGAACTCGCTCAGGGACTCCTGGCCCGACACGGCGTTCCCGTTCCACACGAGCGTGGCCGTGCCCATGTAGAGGCGGGACAGCAGGCGCCGCCGCTTGTCCATGGTGGTGTAGTAGACGTTGACGAACTCCTCGGCCGCCCTGCACGCCTGGTCCACGTAGGTCTTGAAGTCCACGGCCGCCATCTCGGCCCACGGAAGCCGGCGGGCTGCGGGCAGGAGGGCGGAGAGAGCGTGAGTGCTGTCTGCTGCGCCCGCGAAGGGCAACCCTTTCTCTACGGGCAGGAGAGGACCGCAGGCCCGGGCCAGCGCCCATCTCACCGTGCCTCGGCCTGCTGGCCGGAGGGCGGCGACCTCAGCGCGGCGCCCCAAACCAGCCGGCGAGCGCGCCCGCGCCTGGTCCGGGGGCTGCCGAACCTCCCTCCCGCCGCAGTGCGCGCCCCGCGGCCCCGGCCCGGCCCCGAGGGCGAGGAAGCACCGTCCGCGCGGGCACAGGCCGGGCCCCGGGGGGCGGGCAGGGGAGCCGCAGCTCTAGCAAGCCCCGAAGGGCGCAGGCGCCGCAGCGCTCGCTTTGCCGGGGGCGCCGCAACCGCCGCTGTCCCGTGCTTTCTGTCCCTCGAGCGTTCACTCAAGGACCCACGGGAAAGCGCTACTACAACGCGTCTGGAAACGCACACGCTCATCCCTGCATGCGGACAAAGCCTTTTGTTTACCAGCAGCTGCAACAACCGCCCCACGCCACCCGCGGGGGCCGCGCCGGCGGGGCCGAGGGCCGTGGACGCCCGCAGCCGCCCGGTCGCCCCAGGCCGGCCTGCGCCGCGCCCTCCCTCCCCGCGCTGACGCCCGCGGCCCGCGCCGCTCCAGGCTCGGCTGTGGGCGGAGGGCAGCCCGGCCGCCGGTGCGGACACGCCCTCCCGCGGGCCCGGAGCTCCGCCGCCCGTAGCCGCCCGCCCCCGGCCGTGCCGTCCAGGCGAACCATGCGGCGACGAGGAGGCGCGGCCGGGGACGCCCGACCGCCCACCGCCCGCCCCCGGCTCCCAGGCCGCCGCACCGAAGGAGCGCGGCTCGCCAGGCAAGGGGAGGGCGCAGGCCCGGGCGGTCTCGGCATCCCGGCGGCGCTGGTCGCCAGATCCCAGGGGGAGGGCCCCTACCTGCGCGGCGGCCACCCGGGTTCCGCGGGGACCTCGGCCGGCGGGCCGGCGTCCCGCTGCAGGGTCAGGACGTCGTCAGCGCGGGCGGCGCCCGCAGTCAGGCGCCGCGGCGCGGGCCGCGGCCCCCAAAGGGCCGCCTCCGAAGGTCGCGGGCGGGCCGGCCGAGGCCCCGTGCTCTCCCCCGCCGCCCGCCTTGGGAGGGGCCGGGAAGATCCGCCCTGCCCGCCGCCTCAGCCTCCCAGGAGGCTCCCCCGGCGACGGGACCCCCAGCAGATTCCCGCGCGCGGCCCGGCGTGCTCCGCGCGGACGCGAGGGCTTGGCCCCGCCCACCTCCCACTCTCCGTGACGGGCAGCTGTGACAGCCAGTGGGACGGCGGCCTGGGAGGTTAACTCCGCCCAGGTGTGGCTGAAGGGAGGAAGTGGTTTCCGGGTGACGCGCCTTCCCAGAAGGCCACGGCATACTATGCTCAAGTTTTCATTGGTCCAACCGGATCACAGGATCCGCCCAATTGGTTAGGTGGGATCCCTGGTTGGATGAAGGCTCTCAAGTCCCGTCCCCCGGAGCTGGGGGGAGTCCGCTCTTTCTCAGCGGCGTGGAGGCTGCTTGGCGAGAGAGGAAGGCGGAGGTGAGCAGTCCCGCTGAGGGTCCTGTCCCACGTGCCCCACTCACCTGTTCTTAGACTAGTGAAACTTCGCGACCTGATGCAGTCACGGGAAGCCGGGAAGCTGGTGACCCAGCTAAGCTTTCAGACAGATAGCACGTGGGGCGCCAGGCTGGCCCCCGGTGGCACCAGGGCCGTTAAGTCCACGGAGAGGATGAAGCCGGTCGAGCCCCCATTGAACTCTACCTGACCAGTACCTGAGCTGACCACTGTCCTTTATGGTTTAAGCCCCCTAGGGTTGACCTCCTAAAGGACCCGTAGAGGAAAACCAGTTTTCAGTGGGAAGCTCAACTAAAAGTGAGAGAAAGTTGAAGTTGTGGATAAGTCTGGAAGCGACAAAAGTGGGCCAAAAAGGGAAACGATAGCAGTTTACATTCTTGTGTCCTGTGACTAGAGGTGCTCGGAGGAAAACCGGCTGGCCTCAGCTCTGGCTCGGAGCTTGGTTGGCATTGCGATTCCTTCTGTTCTCCAGCCCTGAAACCAGCTGCGTTTCACCTAATGTGGAACCTGGGACGATTTTTAACCGAATTTTTGTTGACAACAACAGGTTCAACAGAATGGAACAGGTTAGCGTAGAAATTGGGAAACTTACAGCTTACAGCATTGTGCAACTTGGGCAGTTTAACAGTTTACAGCAGAAATTTAAAAATGTGATTTCTTGAGGCACGAGATTCTCAGCTCCAACCGCGAGTCTGAGAGGCTGAATAATCCTTGCAGAACAGTGGGAGCCCCGTGGGCTTGGAGAGGTGTAGTGATGTCGTGGCATCTTTAGAGTGTGTGTGCATTCAACTCATACCTTCCTGGCTGCTGTCTGGCGTACCTTTGCTTGAATTCCTAAGGTTTCAGGACAAATTTAGAAACTAGATGGACCCTTTAATATAGATGACCCCGCCCCACCTTAAATAAAGTAGGTGAAAAACTTGGATTATAAAAAAATAAGTTGGCGACTGAGTAGAGAGGGTGAACTAGCATCTTTGGAGCAGTGTTCACACCAAAATGTCTTCATAAAGCCTGAGAGTGAAATTAGAATTTAACGTACAAAAATCCGAAATCACAGCATTAATGGAATGAAAATGAGAGTTGACTTACTGTATCCAACATACAGGTTAGACGTCCTGCTGCTTTAAGTTTCCTTGTATTTCCCATGTAAGCCCTTTTCATTTCATTCTCATAACTTTGAGGGAGGTATCATTATTCCTGATTTTACAGACGAGGAGGCCAAGAGACAGAAATTAGATGACCAGTCTGGAGTCACAGAGTCACAAACCTAGAAAAGCTGGTTAGAAGAACATTTGTCCAGTTCCAAGGTCTTGTAAAAACACAAGGCTTTAGCCCTGGGAGGCAGCAGAGCCAGCAGCAGTGAAACGGAGAATGAAGAAGTTAAAAAACCTCCCCTGGGCTGGAAGAAGAGAACAAAAACTCTGAGATGAGCTTTGCTAACTGCAGCTGTGCATCCTCAGCATAATCAACTGTTGTTCAAAACTAACCAGGTCCTTCTGTCCCTCCCTAGTATATGAGTGAGCTGTCTTTCCCAGGAAGTCAAGGTCCAGATGTCAAGATTCAGCCTTGGGGCGGCCCAGTGGTGCAGTGGTTAAGTTGGCACATCCTGCTTCTCTGCGGCCCGGGGTTCACCAGTTCGAATCCCGGGTGCGGACATGGCACCGATTGGCAAAAGCCATGCTGTGGTAGGCGTCCCATATATAAAATAGAGGAAGATGGGTGTGATGTTGGCTCAGCCAGTCTTCCTCAGCAAAAAGAGGAAGATTGGCGGTAGTTAGCCCAGGCCTAATCTTCCCCCCACGACCCAAAAAAGAAAAAGATTCAGCCTCACCAAGGCCAAACGCGGGCTGAAGACGAGAACTAACCAGAAAAGTCCAGACAGTCAAGGGAAAAGAAATTCAGTCTTCAAGGGCAAACACAGGCTGGTGGGAAGGCACCAACCAACAGGGACACATGCTCCCTGTCCCCTACCTAAAACCCCAGATAAAACCCCCTGCCTCTCTTCCTTCAAAGACGTGAATCTGAATTCTAACTCCCATCTCCTCGTCTGGCTGCCTTGTGATAATAAACCCCTTTCCTTGTCATGAGTGTGGTGTTTCTGGGTTTTGGCCTTCTCGTGCTACGGGTAAATGAACCTGTGTTTGTGTTTGGTAACAGCAGGAGGGTGGGAGGGCACGAACCTTTCAGTTTGTGTCTCCAACATCTAAAATGGTGCCTGACCCACAGCAAGGGCTCAATAAATATTGTTTGAATGAACAGACAGGCATTGCTCCATAACATTCTAGTTGTGATAACTCCTCTCTAACAGTCACCACCCCACCGTTGGAAGCAAGCCTGATTTTTATTCCCCCTGAAGTCCTTGAGTTTGGGTGGTTAGAGACATCTTTGGTTCTAAGGGATGTAACACTGGCATTGTATGCCTTGAGCACAGTTCTGGGGTGGCGAGAGGCCCAGTTAGGGCTACTGAGCTTGGAGAAAATGTTTGCTAGGGGCTTTGGGGGAAATGCTTTTCTTTTTCTCCTTTTGGACATGTGGTGTGTGGATGGTGCAGCTGCTGCCATCTTGCCACCCTGAGGAAGAGCCCCTGGACAACGTTGCAGACAGGAGAGGTGGGGAGAAATTAGGCCTTGATGACTGTGTTGGGAATGAAATCAGCCCTGAAGTTTGTACTTTCCAGTTTCAAGAGCTAATAAATTCCTTTCATTTTTAAATACTATTTGAAAAGGTGCATAAATGCAAAGGTACTTGTAACTGAACTACTGTGTTTTAGTGTGTTAGTAGAGTGATTGTGGCAAATGAGTAAGCTCCCTGAGGCTCAGCTGCCTCATCTGTAGGATAGGAATAGTAATAACAGCCATCTCCTTAGGTTGATGTGAGGAGTGAATGAAACAATGTGTGGTAAGTGCTTACCGCTGGGCAAACACAAGGGGGCATGCAGACAGTGTCAATATGCTTTGACGTTTTGTATGACAGTAACTGCTTTGTTTGCCAGCAATTCTTCCAATAACTGGCTTTTAAACTAGGGACAGGCATACTGACAAATTGGTAGGATTTGTCGACAAATCCCATGGGCACCATCCGGAAGATGAGCCTGGCCTAAGCAGCGGCCCCATTTGTCACATGGAGTCCGTCCCAGGAGGAAGGGCACATCTGGTCACACGTGCTGAGCCGCTGGCAGCTCTGAAGGCAGGCCTGACTGACAGGGCTTCATGTCTGTAAGCACAGGACTGAGCTGCTCCCCACTATGACATACTTCTCTGGTGCAGGCTCTAACAGCATTCGTTTGCCGCGAGAGGCTACATGACTTGGAGACAGACCGTCTGCGGGCGCTGGGCAGTTGTGCCTGTAATGCCCTGCCACCAAAACGAAACGTGTTGGTTTTTCCCCTTGCCTTAAAAAAACCATCCGAGCTGTACCAGAGCGAGCTGGGGCTACACTTCTGGGAGGTCCCTTGAGGACCTGACTTTTGGGGAGATTCTGGGAAGAAGTGAGGCCCGTAAGCTTAAAAGCTGAAACATGGCCATGAGCACAGAGAGGAGATGATGCAGCAGAAGCGTAAAGCCATGTGACCAGAGAGAGAGAGAGAAGGAGAGGGAGGGCTGGACTAAGACAGACAGACAGACACATGCTCATGTACACCCATGAGCTGTGCAGAGTGGCTGCCTTGATTCCCAGTGGTTTCTCCTTCCTGACTGTGGCAGATTGTATTTTCCATGAATGGCCCCAAAAATATTTTGGTCCCACATGCTCGTCCAGAACCTTGCCTTGCCACCTCCCATCAGGAGATGCGTTAGGTCCCCTCGTCAGTGGCACCTATGTGATCGTGTGAGGCAGCCCTCCAGTGACAGAGCTGGAGAGAAACGATGCTGCCGTGAACTCAGCAATACGGCCTCTGCTGGGCTCTCCAGCTGTGTGTAGCCCTGGCTTCATGAACGGGTCTGTGGAGAAGAACCAGCTTGCTACCCCGACAGCCAGCAGGCCTGTGAGTGGGCTGCCTTGGAAATGGACCCTCCAGGCCCAAGTTGGGCTGCCTGGGCTGATGTGGCTTAGAGCAGAAATGAGCCTTCTCTGCCATGCCCTGCCCAAATGGCAGATTTGTGAGGAAAATAAATGATTGTTGCCCTGTTAAGCCACTAAGGTTCATTGTGGTCTGTTACGTAGCAAGGGAGCCAGAACCCTTTCTCATCTTCATCCCTGCGGACCGCGAGGCCCTGCCCTGAGGCTGCAGGAGAGAGCCTCCAGCCCACAGGACGCAGTCTGTAGGAACTGGGTTTGCCACTTGCAGCTAAAGGAAGACCTGGCCCCGCGAGGCCTTACAAGGTGATACCACCACCTCAAAGAACTCTCCACAGTCCTGAGGCGGGCTCCCTCCTGACCTCTGTAAATGAGTCACAAGACTGTGATTCCGAGACGGCTGTCGGTTTGTTCATCTATAGCCACAACCAGTTTCCCAGGGACTAGAACACTCCCCTTTGCAAGACAGCACATTCTCTCTGTGTGGGCAGGTGAGGTGGGAGCCACAGCAGCGTGGACAGGCGACTCCGTGAGCACGGGCCAGAAGGAGACGGGGGTGGGAGGAAAGGGGGATGGCCTGAGCCCCTCAGCCAGCGGCACGGAGCTGACAGGGCCTGAAGGATCTCTGTTCCCAGGAGGGAAAGTGTCACCAGGGAGACCAGACCACAGAGTCCTGTGAGCACAGCTCCCTCCACCAGCACTGCCCACATTTGCCCCTGTGAATATCCCCAACCCTGGTCTTGTGTGCTTCATTTCTGCACTGTGCTGGTAGATATCTTCATCTCTTCACTGACGTCATAGCCAGGGGGCAGGGAGCCTCCTTTCTCTCCAAGGTGCCATTGCATATGTCTGCTCCAATCAGTCTTGCTGACTTTTAACTCTCGGAGGGCCATCTTATTGCTTTGCTTCTAAACAGTTTCCATGAATTAATGTGTATGAAGTGCCTGGTGCCTGGTGGACGTCTTTATTTGGATTCCCCAGGAAGCGGATCCAGAGCAGGCACTGAAGCCAGTTGTTGATTTGGAAGGCTCAGGAGGACCGGAAGGGGAGTGGGGATGGAGACGGGGAAGCAGATGTGACACTGTGATTTATAATAAGACACCTGTTTGGTCTTCATCCCCTCCCTGCACAGAGCTCCTAGAGCACTTGGAATTCCCTAATGAGAGGGATAAAGGTGTCTTATGTTATATTAATGAGGTGAGCTTTGGAAAGCACCTAAGAGGGGGGAGGGGCTGGAGATGGAGTTCAATCAGCAAAGGCCAGTAGTTCAATCAGTCGTGCCTAGTATTGAAGCCCCGAGAAAAACTCTGAAGGACGGGGCTCGGAGAGCACCTGGCTGGTGAACATGTGGCGATGTGGGGAGAGTTGCACCTGGAAAGGGCATGGGAGCTCTGCCCCTTTCCCCATACCTTGCCCTGTGCATCTCTTCCATCTGGCTGCTCCTGAGTCATATCCTTGTATAATAAACTGGCAATCTAGTGAGTAAAATGTGTCTGAGTTCTGTGAGCTGCTCTACAAATTAATGGAAGCCGAGGAGGGGGTTGTGGGAACTTTGGTTTATAGTCAGCTGGTCAGAAGCACAGGGGACTCGCTGAACTGGCGATTGGCATCTGAAGTGGGGGCAGTCTTCTGGGATCTGATATTGTCTCCAGGTAGATAGTGTCAGAACTGAGTTGAATTGTAGGACACCCAGCTGGTATTGGAGAATTGCTTAGTGTGGGGGAAAAAACCCTACACATTGGAAGTGGTGTCAGGATTAGAATATTAGGAGATTACTCAGCTAGCTCCCACTGTGGGCGGCTGGAGCCAAACCACGCTGCAGAACTCAGCAAATGGCAGCATAGCACACACCTGCCTGCAGGTGGTCCCACTGGAGACGGAAGAGGGAGCTGGGGGATGTGCACACTGACTCCTGAGAGTGGAGAGCTGCAGGGAGGATGTCATTTCCTGGTATTTCTGGCCTGCTGGCAAGAGAGGCCGAGAGGTTTTTCTTCCACAAGTCTGGAAAAAAGCCCTCAGGTATTTGGAAATCAGCTGCAGCCCACTGAAGTGGCAGGGCCTAGGCCGGTGGGTGGGCACAATGGTGCTGCCTGGGGCAGGCATTGTAAGTGGTCGTGCATGCACATGAGCCCTGGGTGACCCTGCACACTCGGTGTCCTGTACAGGCCACCCCTTGGTGTTGCTGGGTGCAACCATGAGGTGTCTGGTGCCAGGGCTATCACCCCCAGATGCCCAGTCAAGCGGGGTGACTGCAGATCTGGGGGTACCAATGCCCGTGTGTAGCTGCTTAAGCCATGGGTGCTGTGAGCTGACCACACGTGGAAAGGCGAGGTGTTTCTCGATCCCCACCCTCAAGGAGCTGACCTTTGAGCTGAGGGCACGAAGCCTGTCAAAGTGAGGTCATCAGGAAACAATGACCCTGTAAAATGACCTGCCCTGGAAATGCCAATCAAAACCCCAATGATATCCCACTTCACAACTTCTAGGAAGACCCTCAAATGTTCCGTGTGTCTCCGTCTCGCTGCGTCCCCAGTTTCAGTCCTCCGTGGAAGGATTCTCTCCCACCTGAGCACTGGGCACGCCAGGCTGTGTGGCCCTCCTTCTGCCCAGAGTCAGCAGAGACGTCTGAGTGAGGAGCTGATTCGAGGGCTGCTCTGTGTGTCTGGAGAGGCAGCTCTCAAACTGGAGACACTGAGGCATCCAGGGAAGATGGGACTCAGGAGCCCCTGATCAATGAGGAGGAGTGGAACCAGAAAGTACAGTCTTAGGAGCTCAGAAGGAAGTTACGAGAACTTTTCTCTCCCTGGAGGCCTGGGGAAGCTGCATGGAGCAGACAGTGAGTGGCCTCCACTCTCTTCCTAGAGGAGGGTCCTCTGGCCACAGACCCTAGCATCACCCAGGGCAGGACGCCCGGGGGTCGACACCCAAGAGCTGTCCTCAACAATGACAGATGGGGCAGATGGAGGATAAATATTCCAGGCTTCTAGCCCTGGGTGGGACATCTCTGGGGCATGCCCTCCACTGTCCCTGGAGCTCCCCAGGGACTGGCCCCAGCCTCCCCCATTGCCAGCCTGCCCACTGACACAGCCTGGGCTGGCTCTTCTCCCTGCCCCCCCAATCAGGTGCGTCCTGGGATCACCTCCCCAGTGCTCGCCTGCACTGGAGCGACTGTCTCAGAGTCTGCTGTTGGGGAACAAGCCTCAGCAGTGAGCAAGAAGACAAGACTCTCTCCACACGGAAACTCCTGGGGCTTGTCCAGAGGGGTTGTCGCAGTCCTGCGAAGGGTCAACGCCTTGGTCATCAGCTCTGTTTTGGTGACAGGCAGTCATAAAACCAAACACATCTAGTGCTAACAAACTGCAAACAGAGGTGCCCAGACTTGAGGGAGCATCAGAACCCTCTGCAGGGTTGTTAACTCACAGGTGCCAGAGCCTCAGCCGCGGTAGGACTGCGTTCCTAACCCACTCCCAGAGCATGCTGGAGCTGCTGGTCAGGGGGCCGCAGCTTGAGAAGCAGTGCCCTCAACCACAGCACAGAGCACACGGGGTCAGGCTCAGAGGGGCTGTGAGGGCTGGCAGGAAACAACCATAGAGCTAAGGCCTCCTAATGTCTGCTGATAAAAACAATGCCTGGAATTCTGATGTCTCATGGTCATCAAGTATTAAATCAAGTATTACTTTCTGCTCCCCTGGCCATTCCTTCAGACCTGCCTGGAGTGTAGTTTGCCCGCCTTTGAAGCCGCCTGGGCTCGGCCTGCTCGCGGTTCTGAGCTGCTGTTCACAGCAGTGGCCACATGAGTGTCGTCCAGGCTCCGGCAGGAGCTGCTCTCCACAGCGGAGGCGCAGGGACAGCGTCCGGGGCGTCTCTGCTGCCTGGTCAGCTCTGAGACTGTGAGGGTGTTCTTGTCACCAAATGGAAGTGCTCCATTCCTCAAACGTTTGAAAATGCTGCGAAGGCCAAGAGCAGCCTTGTCTGGACACTGCGCTGCCTTTGTTGTTTCTTCTCTCCCTAGGAGTGGTCGTAGAGCCTTTTGGGGAAGTGGCTGTCTCTTTGCCTCCCAAAGCAGCAGAGTTGTACTGTTTGGAATCTCTCAGGTGCTGTCTCAAATGCTGCTTTGTTAATGTTGTGGTCAAATATTTGGGATTTTTAACTTCTGCCTGGGGGAGGTTTCAAGGCGATAGATGAACAGTGTATGTAGGACAAAATGGCAAAAATGATGAGTGGGTGGAAGGATCAGTTCAGGGGCGAAGGTCCCTGAGGGAGCCAGTTCTCGCCGGCTAGGTGCCAATGGTGGGGAGAAGTTGTTGAGAAGACACTGCCCCTCACGATGTCCCCTGGATGCGCTGAGACGGTCAGGGCAGGCAAACACTCCCAGGCTGATCTTCCTACTCGGGCCACGGGGCCCTCGGGGTGCTCAGAGCCGTGAGGGATCCCATTTCTGCTGGGGGGCCCACGGGGCCCTGACAAGGGGAACTGGCCGTGCCCCAAGCCTCGCAGCCCACCCTCCATAGTCCCAGGAGGGCCTGGCTTCAGGAGGGGGAGAAGGGCAGCCGTCAGCAAATGGCCAGGTGGTTGTGTCCACTTTCTAGTAACTCTGCTGTGCTCCACCCTGAGTGGAGCAGAGGCTGCCTTTGATTTAATTTAAAGATTTAGGCCCGAGTTCTGGCACATGGTACAGCTATTAAAGAGTATACAAGAGTTTATAAGGAAAAGCCACTGCCTCTTGTCCTGTCGTTCTTCCCCTCCCTGTCTACGTCCCTGGGGCAAACACTGGCCACTGTTTCTATTTTTTGTCTCTTTGGCTGTTACCTCTATAATTCTAAATAATAAGCTTGTAATTCAGTTGCTTCATTTATCAACTTTAGACGGTCTCCGATGACTCCATTATAAGGAAAGCTCACTTACAAGACAGACGCTCAGCCAACTTTATTATGTTTAGTTCCAGGGGTTACCTTTGTAGCTTGAAATAAATAATTACTCCTCTGCTCCCTGTCCCATCAGTGATAGAGAATATCGTCTCTCCCTGCTCTCCCGGATGAAGTGTCAGTCCTCTCAGCCGTTTCTTCCTAAGCCCCGTCTTAGCGAGTTGCAGTCAACTCCGTGCTCGCCTCCTCCTATAGTAACAGTATCCTGATTTGTAATGTCACATGCCCACTGTGCCTGAAGACCATGCTTCCTAGTTTCTCTCACAGTTAGACCTGGCATGTGACTCTTTTGGTTGATGAGATATAATTTGAAGTGTTGTGTGGGACTTCCTGAAAGAATGGAGTGTAGACCATCTTTTCTCCCTTCTCCATTCCACTACTTGAAATGCAGATGTGATGGCTGGTGCTTTGGCTGCCCGTTTGGACCAGGTAGATGTGGGCCACATCCTAGGGATGGTGGAGTGGAGGGTGGAAGGACTTGGTTCCCTTGTGATTTCACGGGAGCTACCCCAAGAGCTCTGGATTGCATACACACAGACTTCTTTTAGGTGACTGAAAAATATAATTCTATTTTGTTTACTTCATTTTGAGTCCATTTGTTAGATGCCATCAAGTCTAATCCTAACTATTATAGTCACCTGCCTTGCATCTCTGGTGTGTGCTATGGCAGATCACATAGTCACAGGTGGCCACACTGTTGTCTGTCTCCCATATCAGATCTTGATACTTGAATGGCACTCCTCGCAAAAGAGGCAGCATCTATGTTCTTTTCCCTGGAACCTGGGAAAGTTGTGTTCTGAGCCGGGTCATAGAAAGTGAGATGGCTTCCACCTGGCTTGCTTGCTCTCTCTCCTTCTCACACTCCCTCCGCTTCTCCCTCTGTCCCTCTCTCTGTCTCTCTCGACGCTTGCCCTTGAACCCAGCTGTCACGCTGAGAGGAAGCCCGAACTTCTAGCTGGAAAGAGGACACAGAGTGGTCTGTCTGAGGAGGAGATGAGGCCCAGGTGACAGCTAGCATTGACCATCAGACATGTAGTGAGTGAGCCTCTGAGTTATCTAGCTGAGGTTCCAGATATCATGAAACGGAAGCCAGCTGTCCCCACTGTACACTATTGAAATTCCTGACCCACAGAAACCATGGATGAAATAAACGACTGTTTCCTGCTGTGACTGGGGAACCAGCAAGGAAAGGGTTATTGGGAATCTGTTCAATGACTAACCTTGGCTGTGAAATGTTTGCCAGCAAGGAGAAACTAAATGTTTTATTTTTTCAGAAGCTGACCTCCGGTCTTGCAGATGTTGCCATCTTGCAGAGAAACTTGCATGCTTTCAGCAAAACCCTCCAGCCCCAAGTGTCTACAAGTTACCTTGAACTGGTAATGTAATGGCCTACTTACCTGATACACATGGGAAGCACAGTTGTTACACAGTTGTAACAAATAACTCTGTAATCCTTGCAGCCTTGTGTATAAAGTCTCCCACGGTGCTGAGCTCATCAGGGAGACACTGCTTTTGGGAAATATCCCTGGTGTACTCCATCACTTGTGGGAGCAATAAAACTTTTCTTCACCTGCTTCAGTCTTGGTTGTGCTTTTTGGCTCTGCTCTCGCCAAGAGGCAAACCCCTTGAGTTCGGTTACACCGCCACTAAATTTGGGGCTAATTTGTTAGTCAGAGTAACTGCCACAAGCACTTAGCTGTGACAAAGCATGGAGTAATCTGATTGGCTCGGCCCAGGCTTGTGGCCACCTCTGTGACCAGTCGAATCAACTCAGACCCTAGATAAGGGGTGGGGCACATGGTGGGCAGGCCAAACCAAAGCAGCCCCTGGGGCACTGAGTAAGACAAACGTGCTAGAAAGGGGGCTTTGTGGCATGCGAAAATGGGCAGCTCTGTAGGATCTGGCAGCAGGGCTGAATTTGGGTGGAAGAATTACTGAGTGAGAGAAAGCAAAGAGCTTGAAGCTGAGGTTGTGTGGGCTTGCTGTGTTTGACGTGCGGCCCACTGAGCTCCTCTTTGCAGGGGTCTCCCTCTCCATCCCTGGAGGGTAGAGGTTTTAGGGAGGACACACAGCCCGTAGCTCACCGGGCAGCCTCCCGGGAGGTGACAAGGATGGGTCAAGGGGCGTCTCCTGGGAAGGGGCTCCTGTGCAGGGTCACAGCACTCTAGGGCACTTGCAGAACGTGGATCCCCCAAGGTCCCTGCCTGGGAAGGCCCACAGTATCCTCAGTGGCAGGATCTGAGGGTCGTGAGGTGGCTATGAAGGAGCTCATGGTCTGTATCACTTGCATGCGTGGCTGCTCATCGGCAGATTTGATCCTGGAGAACAAAGGGCTCCAAGAAACGCTGCCAGAGCTGCCCTTGGCCCAACTCAGTTTTCCTGGAAAAGTTTCTTCAGTTTGGACGAGACTGAAAGCGAGAGCCCTTTGAGCGTGGCCCCCTCCCTGGCTGGCATTAGGGCTGAAGTAATAGACAGGGAGCATCTAGCTGGCCTCCTTTTGTCACCAACGGCTCTCTGGATCAGCTCCTGGATCCCCTGCCAGCCTGCGTCACTTTGGTGCCAGTGGCCGCTCTGTGGTCAGCTTCTGAGGGAGGTTTGTCCTGAGCCGTCAGCACAGCAGGAACACCGAACACGACGTCAGGAGAGGTCTGTCCCAGGAAGGTCAGCAGAAGCGGCTGCAGAGCTGCAGGATGGCTGGCCTGGTTGACCTTGCTTCGGGGTACAGGCACAATGAGAAGTAAAAGGGGCCAATTTGGGATGTAGCTGGCCCAGAGGAAGCTCTTAATAAATGGCAGTCACCATGATCCTACCACGTGGTGTGTTTTTGAGGGTCTTGTGTTGTTTGCGACAGCCAATGTATTAGTCGTAGTTCACTCTTTCCATAGGTTCTTCTGTATCTGCTGAATATTAGAATTTATTTACTTCTAGTAGGAGAGAAAAATGAAAATGGCAAATCAGATGGAAAAATAGAGCTATTTTCAGAGTAAATTGAGCTCAGGAAGGATTGCAGAGGTGTGATGAATCAGAGCTCACACAGTCACCTGGGGACACTTAAACGATTTAAGGACCTGAAAGTACAGAACAGGTGGATGATTCATGGAGGAAAATCCCTGGGGAGAGGGAAGGGCTATTTGGGGGGATTTAAGGGGGAGGGGCTTTAGTTGCAGTTCCAGAAAAGGGCAGCAGCTGGGACCTTTTCCTCTTCCAGGCTCCTTACTCTCCAAAAATACCTTGGCCTGAAGTCACTTGAGAGGTGAGATGAAGTGCTGATTCAGTTGCTATAGCAACTGAGGGGCCAGCCTCAGGCCTGAGTGGACGCGGGAGGAACCCACTGGGCTGCCTGGGCCTCCCAGGCTGGAAGCGGCTCCTTAGCCTCCAGGCTGGAGGTTCTGCAGCCCTTTGTAGATGGTCATCCGGTACTTTTTCTGAAGGAGTTCTCTGTAGGCCCATCAGCCAAAGTTTCATTAAGTAGGAGATTAAGAAAGCCTGCAGGGAAAGGCAGAGAGGTCACACAGGGACCGGCACCTCAGCGAGGTGTGAGCGCCGCAGGCTGTCCCCCTGGCGGAGTCTGAAAAGGGACAGCATTAAGGGCGATAGTGTTATTTCACCGGGAGCTGATGGAAGACAAAAGGGCATCTGGTTTCAGGAAGGGGAGCGCCGGTGAGGTGGGAGGTGTGGGTTATTCCCTTGTATTTGCCTCCCTCCAGTGGGCAGAGGGGGCTTACTTAGCAGGGAAACGAAGACAAGAGGAGGGACTCCTCTGGCCTAGGACACAGGTGAAGGCCAGGGGCAGCCGGCTTCTGGATGATTGATTTGTCTTTGTTCATATGTGTTGGTGGCTGTTCATTGATCACAGCTCTTATAAGTTAAATCCATATAGGAAGGGTTTGAAAAATTTATTATAAAATGGAAACCAAAGGTTATAAAAGCAGTATTTATTCAGGAAACACTGATGTTTTACAATAGTGGGTAGTAATTAATAATTTTAATGAAAATCCTCAGGGATTAGTTAGTTGATGATAGGGTTGATGTTCTTATTACCACCAACCACTGGCCAATCTAAACCACCTGAAATAAGAAGATCATGTTTTGTAAGTGGGCGATGCAGAAGAGGAGTTCCCAGAGACCCTGCTGTCTGTGAAACAACATTTACTACCTCGGCAGAAACCAGTTCTGTGAACAGCTACGCCATTCTCGTGTCCAACCATGGGTCCAACAGGGACAAAGGTCAGAGCCCACTTATCTAGGCTGCACACCTGGCCCTCAGTCCTTGAACCAACCTGTCCTGCCTTCACTTTACTCACTGGACCAGTTCCAAGCCAAAAGGGGATGTGCCTGGATGAGTGTGGATGGATGGTTGAGGGAGACATCATTGGTGTTTGTAGGAAAATAGAAAATCCATTCCCAGTGAAATGATTCTCTCTTTCCAGGTCTGGCATTTCATTTGAATGATTCTTTAGAAATTTCCTGCTAAGCACAGGTTTGTACAAATATCAGTAAATAGCTCACCTTTATCTAGAGAAGATGAGATTTGAGGCTTTTGATGAGGCTTTTGGGTGGGAAGGGTGAATTAATGCACCAGGGATTGGGTCCCTGGGGGAAAGAGCTTAGCAGGTCAAATATGGCTTTAGGGAGCATCTGAGAAACAGAAAAAAGATGTGAGCGTCATCTATCTCTGTTAATGATACCTTTATCTTCCTAAGCCATTGCATTTGTCACCTCCCCCTTCTTCCCTTCTCCAGTCCCCTTCAAGTCTCTTGTAGAATTTTCCAGTATACTTTGCTTAGGAAAAAACACCAAGGAAAAGCCACGTAAACAAAGCCATCAGATCTCGGAAGAAGCAGCATCTTCTTCAGAGGTTAATTCCTTCTCTCCTTCTGACACCAATAGTGCCTCGCTCAGCCAGCACCAGCACCCTCTTGGGGAGTGTATTTTGGCTTGTAACTGGGCCTGTGGGTAGGTCTGAAAGCCTTGGGTGTTCCAGGAGTGTGTTGCTGCTGGTGCCCTGCCCGAGTCCTTTCACTGGTCACTGCCTCACCCCTAGCTGCTGCGCATGTTGGCTGGCAATAACAGTGCTACAATGGCACCCATGTCTCCAAGTAGGATCAGCCTATGGCACAGCTCACGCACCCTTGGGGCCAGCTGAGGCTGAGGTCCATGCTTAGCTGGCCCTATTCTGCCTCTCTCCCTCTCTTTCTCCTGAGGCCTCCCTCAAATTATGGGCGCCCACATCCCCATCTCAGGCTCTGCTTCTGAGACCTAATTCGGGAGGGTCATTTCAGTCCCTTCTGTCTCCACATCTCCTATATCTGTCCTGCTCTTTTGCATTCCCTCCCCCTCAGTCAAGACGTCACACTTGGATTATCGCAAGGCGCCTGCCTTCTTTCACCTCCTCCAGCGGGCCAGCACTGCCTCTTATTTAAAGCATTCTACATCCCAGGCCAGAGGAGCTCCCTATTTATATGAGTGCTTGTCTCTAACTATTGACAGTTTGGTTTTCAAACTATGTGCTGTGCAACCACAGGCAAAAAAACTACACAAAGGGCTTGCTTAAAATATAGATCCCAATACCCACCTCGATGTTTTGATTCAGTCAGCGTGGGCAGGACCTAGGAATCCGAAGCTGTAAGAACGCCCCCCCACCCAGGTGGTTTGGATTTTGAGAACTAGGTTTCACATGACACTGCTTCTTTCCTGCTTTCTTTTAGAGTTCTGCAACTGTTTTGTTCTCCTTTCTGGAGCATCTTTGAGGATAAGATGTGCAACCTTTTCATCTTTGTGGGAGACAAGCTTAGCCCAGCCTCTGCGTACAGGAATCCTATGTCTTAAATATTTGATCAAAGGAAGAAATGAAGAAAATGCAGAAGAGAGGAGGGAGCAAGGCCAAGTACAGGCAGCACGAGTGTGGGTGGTCATGGGGGACAGTGGCAGACATGGGAGACATTGAGTTTCATCACGCTTAGTGACGTTTTGTTGTACCCTTGAACTGTGTGTGCCACACTGTTGAGAGTGGCGTGTAGCTGATGTGGATTAAGACTGCCCCAGCTAGAGAAGCCCAAGGTGACCTGGCCTACGTGCCAAACTATATGACCCAGTGGATTTTTTTATGGTATGAATTAGGGCTGCCCCAGGGAGAGAAGCCCAGGGCATCCTCACCTACATGCCGATCTATATGGCCAGATTCGTATCTAAAAGTTATATGACTGCACAATAACCAGACCCCATCTGCACTGAAATCATTTAATGACTTTTTACATCATCTTTTCTTTTTCCGGTAAAAATAAGTCACGTACCCATGCCTTATAAAATTAGCCCTAACCCTCAACTCAGGGCAGCAGCAGCAGCTCTGACTGCCCATGGGTCCTGTCCCCATGCA